TCTTGAACAGAGTCCGCAACTCCCACGCAGCAGGTGCAGATGATTTCCAGCCAGATCGAAAGACATCGTAGTCCTTCGACTGAGAGAAAAGTTTGAAGGCTTTGACCAACCGATGGTAGTTGGCCTCATTATCGGTGTACAGTTCCGGTGTAGGCACAGACAATTTAACAGACGCCATCGCGCGAGTGGTTTCAGAATACAAACAAGCCACTTCTAAGCACGATGTTAGCTCTTTACGAACTATGGACCATGGCAGCTTAGCTGCCTGAATTAAATGTGCGCTACAGCGGACTAGATTAAAATCGGAATCACATATAATGGTACCGATGCCAAGTCCATCATAGTAGCCTGTAGTGTCTTGAATGCTTCAACACCAATGAACTCGTCTAAATCAGACACCGGATCTTTCTCCAGTTCACGCCTCAAGATAAGACGCATACGGAGTAGCAAATTACTTTGGAATCCCAGCGGATCGTAACATTGAGCAATTAAGCTCATAACGTCTCTGCGTGTGAGAAGGACCTTGTCCTCGGATAGGGCCAAGACACAAGGTGGGAAGTTAGGGCCTTCACAATCGGAAAGTGTGTCGGTGGGGTTCCATCTCAAGCCGAGTACCTTACAAGGATGCTCGGTGGGAACTCCAATACGACACTTCTTAGGCTGACAACGGAAGCCGTATTTACGGCACACAGGCAGAAGAATTGTAACAGCCTCTAACAGCAACTTTGGACATGAACAAGTAATATGCACATTCTAGATCTAGCAAAGCGACAGAAAAGTGCGAGTGAAATGCTAGTATATGAGGCAAAGTTCCTCTCAAGATGGAATCACAGGGCCTGGTTTTCCCTAGGCCAGAGCCTATGAGACCACGGAAGATAGTGCCATTCAGCACCGGCCGCACCGGAGTAGAACGTGAGGGGCTTAATACCGCAAAATGGTTGATGAGCCCTGTCACTTTGGCCCATTCTGATTTATCAACCCCCACTAAGACACCCATATCGATATACCGTTGAAAAACTTTAGCATAGTGATCAAACGAGCCTTCTTCTTTCAACTTATTGGCAGATACTTTATGCCTTGTTATGCATCTCTCAATGTCGGCAACAGTCGGCTTAGCCAATCTCCTAGATGTCAACCAAGGGATACCATATCGGAAACGCTTAACCTCTATCTCTTTTCCCTCTTCATCGGTGCTGGCTTCGGTCGTGAATCCTTCAAAGCGAGTTTCGTTGTATCCAGGTCATAGAGGATCTTCTGACGCAAAATCGGAACAATCACTGACACCAGTCTCATCAATGAAGGACTCTAAACAGGCACCGCAGAGCAGAGATTCCAGAGTAGGTTTCCCAAAATAGAGATTATCACTCTTTTGGTCGACATCGTCCACAAGTTGCAAGAAATCTACGGCATCCAGAGAGTCTTCAACCTTAGGCTGTGGAATGCTGGTAACCCGGAGAGCAGCTTCGCGGTCCACATCAGCATGGAGTACAACACCAGTAGGTCCCAAGTGTAACATCAGAGAGAGAGCCCGCATGCCCGACATACCTATAATCAGATCGACTGCCAGGGCTACCGGAGCAACTAGACACCAAAGCTCGACTACTTTGTCGGCATAATCGGTGCGAGCATCGGTCGGTCGACCGGCGACCCGCGCGGCGCCGATAAAGGCGCCCGTCGGACCGACTCGATGCTTCGAGGGCTGGAAGCCGCAGACGTCTCCGGCCTTCCAGCCCACCAGACCGACGCGCCCAGGAGTGGGATATTTAACCTACTTGTTACGGCTCAGCGATGAGCTGCGACATTAGGTCTTACAAACACTATGGCAAGGGCCATTCGTACGGATTAACCTACTTCTACGGCTCAGCAATGAGCTGCGACATTAGGTCTTATAAAGACTGTGGCACTTGTTACGGCTCAGCAATGAGCTGCGACATTAGGTCTTATAAAGACTATGGCAAGGGCCACTCCTACGGATTAACCTACTTGTTACGGCTCAGCAATGTGGTGCGACATTAGGTCTTATAAAGACTATGGCAAGGGCCACTCCTACGGATTAACCTACTTGTTACGGCTCAGCAATGAGCTGCGACATTAGGTCTTATAAAGACTGTGGCAAGGGCCACTCCTACGGATTAACCTACTTGTCACGGCCCAACAATGAGCTGCGACATTAGTCTGTGGCAAGGGCCATTCCTACGGATGAACCTCCTCGTTACGGATCGATCCCTTCGCTTCGCTGTGTGCTAGTGTGGTTCAGTCGAGAGTTTGTTGTCAAAATATTTGGCCTTGCGTTGAGACTGAGTTCACTTCGATCGATCTAGTTCGCCGAATAAATCATCGAGTCGATAACGTTGGCATGGTTCTGAATCGTTTTTTTGGGAAAGTTAGAGCCACGAATCGTGGCCTACGACTGGTAGTTGTCATTGACAACTTGCCCATACCATGACGGTATTACCATCTCAGTCTTTTTTCTCGGCAAACACCCGGAGCTCACAGAGTGGCTCGAGATAATGATACAATACTCGTTTCATTCGTATGAAAAAAGCGTGTCGTAAATTACGACTCGTAATCTCAGTCTTATAATGAACATCCTTTA